TTCTCATCTTTACCTAGTTCTACACAAAATGAGAATTGTGAAAATGGCTTCTAATGAGAACCCCCAATTCTATTTGAAAACTTAATTTGAATTAAATATTAAAAGATAAACATCCTGTTTATAAAGTGAATGAAAATGTTTTCAAAGAGTCTATTTAAACACTGACACAAAGTGAAAAAGGAAACATTAGATTAAAGGAAAATAATTGAAATTAAATTACATGGGCCCATGGTAATTCTTTTTACTCAGCTACATCTTGGCTACTAACCTGAAAAATTGAAGTATGTCTGTGCAATACTTAAAGCAGGAAGTGGAGGGGAAACAGTGGCAAAAACTATTGTTTGTTCTATTTGATTAATTTAGGATGTTTTAAGTTCTAGTGCTGTTTATTTCCATTTCTCCCCTTAAATAAAAGTTCCTAATTTCTTCATAAATAGCTAACACTTAAATTGCAGTCTGTATTTTGTTGGAATTTTAATTGCAAAGGAAAGTGAATATTTAAAGAAAGAAAGCGACAAATAATATATAATTCAAAATAAATAGAAGTTAATGACTCACCATCTCTATTGATGTTTATTCATGAATATTTCTTAATTTTGTTTTGTTCTCTTTCCAAAGCCACCAGTAAAAAAATTTCTTGTGCTATATTTTCATGAGATTTTATTTAATTTTTCTTGCCATTTCCCCAAGGATTTTTTTTAAAGTCTAAATTCATAGTATAAATAACCTCCTGGGGGTAGATTAAAAAAACAAAACAACCAAAGGCAACAGACCTTCTTAAGAAATTGCCCAGGTGTCTTTATTATTATTATAATAGAGGATAATGTGCGTAGGGAGAGAAGAGGGCTAATTTGCAGGCTCAATCGGAAAAAAGCCATGAGCACTAAATCTGATTTTATCACTTTTTGAACAATGAACATCTAAACTATCTCAGTTTCATAATCTTTTAATTTTAGATTAAGGATAGCAATAACAATAGTACTTAAGTTTAGATTTTACAGCAGTCTCTGAATGGTTTTCAAAGTCAGCCTATTTCCTCCAATCTGGATCCACATTTTACTAACATGTTGTCAACTCCTTCTATCATTTTTTTTTGGGGGGGGGTTATGGATTGGGAGGTTCAATTATTGTTACTTAATACTCAGGATAACTTTGTTGTTAATCATGCAGCATATTGAACTGCTGTTCTTAGAAAATTAGATGTTTTGCATTCTGCTTTAATGAAAGGACAGTGACATGCATAATTATTCTGAGTTCATTGTGATATAAATAATTCCTAAACTGTGAGCATTCGTGTGAGTGTCTTTTATGGGTCTTGTATGTTTCTTATATCTCCTACCTTGTAACTGGGTTTTCCATCTTTCCATCACTCTCTACTTCATTGTGTTTTTCTTTTTTTCTTTTGTCTTTACTCCCTGCTTCCTTATGGTTCTAAAATTTGTTAAGATTGGCCCCACCTCAATTTTAGTCGTTTTCTGAATATATTCTTTCTAGTTCTTGTTATGCTCACTGCATCCCTTGCCAGTATTCCTTCATGTAAGTAATATAGACGGTGGTCTAGAAAACTGAAGTTCTCTTGATGACACCAGTGTCATCAAGAGCCAGTGATTTGTTTTTAAAATTCTTTCCTCCTTCATTGGATGTTGGCCTTTTGTTGGAAGTATAGATGAAAACACCACTTTTGCTCCTAATTCTTTAACTTTCTTCCCCAGCTGTTCAAAATATGTTGTTATTATTTTTAGATTCATTGTCATGTCATGGTCCCCACATGTAGGAAAAGAAAGGAGTAGTAATACATGGGGTTGATTATTTGAGTAAGATTCTCAGTTACATCTTTGATTTTTGCTCCAGGGAGACAACATGGTGATGATGATAAGACAGATGATGCTGTTAATATGTCTCTGCACTACATTCTACAACATCTTGAATCTCCAAAAACCTATGAAGGGTCCTCTTTGTAGACTTCAAGTCAGCATTCAATACCATCATTCCAGATATTCTTCTAACTAAACTAAATCAGCTAGCTATACTTAACCACACTTGTAAATGGATCTTAAGCTTCATAACAGACAGGAAGCAGCAGGTGAAGCTAGGGAAAATCACATCAGATACCTGCACAATTAGCACAGGAACCCCCCAGGGCTGTGTGCTCTATCCACATCTCTTCCCTCTATATACCAATGATTGCATCTCAAAAGATCCCTCTGTTTGCAATATTAAGATATGATAAATATTGGAGGAGCAAAAAGAAGACTTAAAAGATGTATTCAGAAGATATAGTGAATGATTGATTGTGTATTGTTTATTTGTTTGTAAATAAAAAAACTTTTTTTAAAAAAAGATCCCTCTGTTAAAATATTGACGTTTGCAAATGATACAACAGTGATTGGTCTCATTCAAGACAGTGATGAATCTGCATACAGGTGGGAGGTTGAACAACTAGCCTTGTGGTGCAACCAGAACAATCTTGAGTTAAATACACTAAAAACCATAGAAATGGTGGTAGATTTTAGAAGAAAACCTCCTATACTACTACCTCTTACAATACTAAACAACAGTATCAACAGTAGAGTCCTTCACATTTATAGGTTCTATCATATCTCAAGACTTAAAATGGACACCTAACATCAAAAACATAATTAAAAAAGCTCAACAAAGAATGTTCTTTCTGTGCAAACTCAGAAAGTCAAACTGCCCAAAGATCTGCTGATTCAGTTCTACAGAAGAATTATTGAGTCTGTCATCTGCACCTCCATACCTGGTTTGGCTCTGCAACCAAACAAGACAAACACAGACTTCAACAGATAATTAGAACTGCAGAAAAAATAATTGCTACTAACTTGCCTTCCATTGAGGATCTGTACACTGCATGAGTCAAAAAGAGGGCTGTGAAAATATCTACACACCCCTCACATCCTGAACAGAATTGTTTCAACTTCTACCCTCAAAAAGACACTATAGGGCACTGCACACAAGGACAGTTTTTTTTTCCTGAATGCCATCACTCTGCTTAACAACTAATTCCCACAACATTGTCAAATAATTTACTAAGACTGTATTATTATTATTATTATTATTATTATTATTATTATTATTATTATCTTCCTTACTAGTATCTATCTCTTCCCACTTATACTATAACCATGTTGCTTGTATCTTTCAATTATATTGTTTTTATTTGTTTCCTGGTACGTTTTGATAGCTTATTAGTAACCTTGACTATCAATAAGTGTTGTATCTTTTTATTCTTGATGAACGTATTTTATTTTTCTTATGTACACTGAGAACATACACACCTGTCAAATTCCTTGTGTGTCAAATCACACTTGGCCAATAAAGAATTGTATTCTATTCTCTTCTAGATTGACTGTTTGGTTTGTACACTCAAGAAACATTTGCATAACTTCTTCTCTGGTAATATTTTACTACTATCTAGAGCATACAAAACAGTTGCTAGACCAATTCTTGAATACAGCTCATCTGTCTGGAATCCGTACTGAATATCGGACATTAATACAATTTAGAGAGTCCAGAGATAATTCATAAGAAGAGTCCTCCACTCCTCTGCTCATAATAGAATACCTTGTGCCACCAGGCTTGAAATTTTGGGTTTAGACAATTTAGAACTACGCTGTCTTGGATCTGACTTAGCGTAGTACATAAAATACATATATCAGTATGTATATATAGTATATATCAGATATATGCACATTATATATTAACATATATAATTATATATTAACATATATAATGTTAATAGAACCAAACTTTTCCTGATTCTTTGGATATAAGGGACTGCTAAATTGGCAGTCCCTGAGATTTATTTTTTAAATTAATATTTATATGACATTTATCTATCTATCTTCTCCATTCCTTTTCAACCTGTTTTCACAAATCCTGAAGAAAAAAATTATGAATTATATATTTTCTGAAGTTGGACAATCAAATTCTTAAGCAATTAACAAAGATGTCTAAGTGGGAGGCAGCACTTAGCTTAGACTCTGTTCAACTGCCCTGTTTAACTTAGGAGGAACATTATATATAAGCTTTAACTATATCTTAAATTAAATAAAAATATGAAAAGTAATAGTAAAATCATAATTTGAGCATCCTAAAATCAATTATATTTCTATAAATGTTACTATATTTATTATGCTTATTAAGTTTTGAAACTAAAACACTGACAAAAGAAATGAAGAAATCATAATCATGTCAGGCATATATAAGATAACAGGTAAAAGTAAAAACATAATTTGAATACATGAAAAGAATAAGTAAAAAGGAATATTAGGACAGGGATGGTAGGCAGGGATGGTAGGCAGAGAAAGCCTTTTATCAAATTTTAATCACTGTCAAGTCTTATGGCATAATTTTATAGTCTTTTGTAACAATAATTTAAAAATATTTTTATTAAAAAATTACAGCCTACAGTATTCGGATAACCCTGAGGACACAGCTAAACCTCCAAACAGAATCAATGACTCTCAGAAAGAGGGCTAATGACCACATGACTTCAAAGGATATAAATCCTTGCATTCTACACCATTTAGTCAGAACTGAAGAAGTTTCTTGGGTGAGAAGCAAAACATCTTCTAACAAAACAAGAAAATCCAGTTGCCTTTTCAAAGAAAACACATTTGGGACAGTTTAAAATATATTTTGATAGAATGCAATGCAATTTGAGAATTTCATAAAAATGAAGACTGTCAGATTTCTGCACTGCGTGCTTTTAGAAATGTTTTAAAGATTTAAGAATCTAGCACATTGCATATATATGGGTATAACATTTTAGGTTTGGCATCTAATTGACACTAACTTTTTACATTCCATTTCAATATCTTTTCACATATCCTGAAGAAAAATAATATGAACTATTGCTTGAATTTTGCTTCAGATAGGCTTCCAAAGGTTTAAACAGTTAATAAACAGTATGAGTTGGTACTTAGCCTATACTGGCTCAACTCAGGAAATGCATACTGTAGGTACAAAATTCACACTTTTTAAAAATGAAATGACATCTGACCAAAAAGTCTTGAAAGAGTAATTTTAATGTCCTTGTTTCTCATGCAGTAGATGAATGTATTCATCATGGATGGAATAATGGAATACATAATAGTAGTTATGAAGTTGAGGTGGGTTGAACTGTCAGACCTGGGCTTTAGATAAGTAAAGCAACCAGTAAACATAAATATGGAGAAAACAGTGAGGTATCGTAAACAAGTAGTGAAGGCTTTGTTCCTTCCTTGAACTGAAGGAATTCTGAGAACAGAAGAGAAGACTTGCATATAAGTTATAAGGACAAAAATAAAACAACCCAGTGTTAATGTAGAACTGAAAATTATAACTCCAGTTTCAGATACATATAAACCAGGACAGGCAATCTTAAGCAAATAAGGGATTTCACAGTAGAACTGATCGATAATATTAGAACAGAAAGGGGTAATGAAAGTGAAAATAGTGTGCAATGAAGCATTGAGAAGGCTGGCTGTCCATACACCTCCAATCATTTTGGTGCAGGCCTTTCTGTTCATTATCATTTCATAATGTAAAGGATTACAAATGGCAATATACCTATCATATGCCATCACAGTTAGGAGGAATACATCACAGGTCAAGAAAAAGAAGAAGAACGTGACTTGGGCAACACATCCAGAATGAGCAATAGTCCTAACATTCATGAGAGAATTAAAAACAGCCTTGGGGATAATGACCGAAACTAAACCAATATCTTGCATGGCTAAATTGAACAGGAAGAAGTACATGGGTGTGTGAAGGTGTGTGTCAAAAACAACAGCATTGATGATGAAAAGGTTCCCTGTTATTGTTGTTGAATACAATATCAGTAGTAAAGCTATGTGCATAACCTGTAGCTCCCAATTTTTTGAAAATCCCCAGAGAAGAAACTGTGTCATTATCCATTCCTAAAATTTTGTTCTCTAGAAGAAAAAGGAAAAAGGAATTTTAAAATATTTCTTATTCAATACTATTTCAATAAAAATTACATTAAACCTTTTTCTTTGAATCAGTCCTGAGATCATAGTTACTTATAAATGTAAAGTGCTAATATTATTTCAAAGACAAACTAGCATGCATGAATTACAGTTGTAGGAAAAGATGACCTGACACTACATTCACATACAATAACAGTAGCATTTAGGCTTATATACTGCCCCATAGCATTTTACAGTACTGACTCAATTATTTGCATACTGCCCCAACAATCTGGACTCTCATTTTACCAACCTCAAATAGATGGAAGGCTAAGCAAATCTTGAGCACTGTCAGGATCAAACTCCAGGCTGTGGGCAAAATTTTCCTGCAATATTGCAGTTTAACCACTGCAACATCCAGCACATATCACAAAGTTGAATGACCTATTAAAATTCTCCAGTTAATTAGTTAATACAAATACCTTCATAATCCCCTATCTTGTTGTTTCTATAAATTAAAATGCTATTCTTCCACTACTGCTAATATTAACTTTTGAAATTTTGATTATCAGTTGTTTCCAAATTTTTATTGCAATATCTATAGAAAATTTACTCAGAATATTAAATTGATGCCCAGCCACCAAATATGATTTAAAATCTAATAAAGAACCGGAAAAAATATCGCTGAATTGGTTAGTATGTTATTTATATTAAAAACTTGGAAGGTTCATATCTCCGTATTTACTTTAACCATGTTTTCTCAAAGACTCAGAAAATATGCCAAGGTAAATACTGTAGAAAAATAAACTACTTAGATCCTGTTCAAGTTATTTTGCTCCCCCTCCCCCTTTTAAACAGAGACTTTTAATAGAAGATGAACTTTTTGCATAAAGAATGTATTGCTCATGTTTACTTGGTGCTTCAAAAAGTGGAGATATCTTGATTCATAAACATCCTTATTTACAACTAGACAAACATACAATATAATCCTAATTGTTTTAAGGATTGCTTTGATCCTCCTATGTATGCTGCCTAGAATTACTGTAGAAACTGAGAAAGCATATAAATGAATAAATATTTTAAAATGCAAAAGGAAAAAAATAAAAAAATAAATGAAAACTTCAATAAAGAAGGATGGTGAAGAATTAATGTATATTATGTTTTTCATTTAAGATTTATCACAAACTCCACAACAATATTCATAGGAATATTAAAACATTTCTCATGTAGAATTCTTGATCACAATTTGCAATATTTTTTTCTAAAATAAGCAAACAGGAGAATTTACTTTCATTTAATTAATGCTTTCTCCTAATAAATTAAGGGACACAGTAGCTCAGTTTGTGGATTGAAAGGTCGACAGTTCACCGGTTCAAATCCCTAGTGCTGCATAATGGGGTGGGCTCCTGTTATTTATACCAGCTTCTGCCAACCTAGCAGTTCGAAAGCATGTAAAAAATGCAAATAGAAATATAGGGACCACCTTTGGTGGGAAGGTAACTGCGTTCCGTGCACCTTTGTTTAATCATGCTGACCACATGAACACAGAGACGTCTTTGGACACCACTGGCTTTTTGGCTTTGAAACGGGGATGAGCACTGCCCCCTAGAGTCAGGAACGACTAGCACATATGTGCGAGGAGAACCTTTACCTTTACCTTTTATATTGTTTACAGATGTTTCTATACTGCATCCAAATTGGAAATTTATAATGTTCCATTCAATTCAATATTTCATATCACTTAATTCTAATTTTATGTTAGCTGTCTTTAACAGAACTTCTCTTGTGAAAATTATCTCTGACACTTTGGAATCAGGCAAAAGGTAAAAAACAACAACAAAACATTAGTCTAAATATTGTAACAGAGACAACTAGTATTATCCAGTGGTTAAATTAAAGGACTGGAAGAAAATGAATAGTGGTCCAGCCCAACCCAGCTGAATGTCCTTGCAGCAAACTTCCTTTTTTAGTTATATCTTAAAATGTTGGCAAGAAAATTGAACATGTATGTCCCCATAGTCATCAAGAGCTAGAAATGGTTCAATGCACAATGACCATTTCAATCTTAACAGAGATGAGTAAAATGTCATAAATGAATAAAAAACGTTTCCAATTTTAGGCAATGTATTAGAAAGTGGAAAATTGCTATAAAAGTATTAATATTTATTTATTTATTTATTTATTTATTTATTTATTTATTTATTTCAATTTCTATACCGCCCTTCTCCAAATAGGACTCAGGGCCAAAGTAAAAAACAGGACATACAAAATTTAAAAACAGTTTAAAATAATTAAATATTTTGGCCGTAAATTAAAACAACCCAATTTAAAATCAATTTAAAATTTAACTCAAGCCAGCCCAGCCAGTTGAAATAAATAGGTTTTCAGGGCCTGACGAAAAATCCGGAGGTCTGTTATTGTATGTATATCTGGGGAGAGGTTGTTCCAGAGGGTGGGCGCCGCCACAGAAAAGGCTCTCCCCCTGGGGGTCGCCAGCTGACATTGTCTGGCGGATGGCACCCTGAGGAGGCCCACTCTGTGCAAGCGTACTGGCCGGTGGGAGGCTATTGGTGGCAGAAGGCGGTCTCGTAGGTACCCCGGCCCTAAGCCGGGAGCGCTTTAAAGGTGGTCACCAACACCTTGAAGCGTACCCGGAAGACCACTGGGAGCCAGTGCAGCTCCCGCAGGAGAGGTGTCATATGGGAATGCCTCATCGCCCCCATAATCCCCTGCGTGGCCGTGTTCTGGACCAGCTGGAGCCTCCGGGTGCACCCCAGGGGGAGCCCCATGTAGAGAGCGTTGCAGTAGTCCAGGCGGGAAGTGACAAGTCACAGTCTGAGTGACTGTGCGTAGGGAGTCCCGATCTAGAAATAGGCGCAACTGGCATATCAGGCGAACCTGATAAAAAGCCCCCCTGGCCACGGCCGTCAAATGATCTTCTAAAGACAGCCATGCATCCAGGAGGATGCCCAAGTTATGAGCCCTCTCCGTAGGGGTGAGTGATTCGCCCCCAATAGCCAGCGATGGCGTAAGCTGGCTATATCGGGACGCCGGAAGCCACAGCCACTTGGTCTTGGAGAGGTTGAGTCGGAGCCTGTTTCTCCCCATCCAGGCCCGCACGGCCTCCAGGCACTGGGACATCACTTCAAGGGCATCGTTGGGGTGACCTGGGGTGGAGATGTACAGCTGGGTGTCATCAGCGTACTGATGGAACTCCACCCCGAAGCCACAGATGATCTCACCCAGCGGCTTTACATAAATGTTGAACAGAAGGGGCGAGAGGACCGACCTTTGTGGCACCCCACAAGCAAGGTGCCTCGGGGTCGACCGCTGCCCCCCTGTCAACACAGATTGCGACCGGTCAGAGAGGTAGGAGGAGAACCACCGCAGAATGGTGCCCCCCACCCCCACCCCCGCCAACCGGTGCAACATGATACCATGGTCGATGGTATCAAAAGCCGCTGAGAGGTCTAACAGGACCAGGATAGAGGAGCAACCCCTATCCCGAGCCCTCCAGAGATCATCCACTTATGTTGCCAATATATATATAAAATCTAAACATACTGCAGAATTTGAATTATGGCATTATTACATTTTTTTAATCTATTGAATGATCTTTTCATCTCCCCCTTGTGTTATAAAAATTACGATTGTGAAGAATGATTTCAAATCAGAGCCCTGTGTTCTATTTAACAAATTTATTTGAATTAAGAACTCTATAGATGATACTCTTCATTATGAAGTGAACAAAATGTTTTCAAGGGGTCCATTCTAAATATTGATACAGCCTTACATTTTAAGGGTATATAAAAAATGAAAATGAGGACATATAAATGTTTGAACAGTAACTGAAGTTGGAGGTAAAGGTAAAAACCGTGGAAAAACATATTATTATTTTGATTAATTTAGAATATATTAAGTCCTAATGCTGTTTATTTTTATCTATGCCCTGAAATGTAAGTTCCTAAGAATCATTTTTATAGGCAGTTAATAGCTATATTATAATATGTATTTTGTTGGATTTTTAATTGTAAAGGGAAGAGAAGACTAGTGAATAGTTAAGGATAGAAAGGGACAAATCATGTCTAATTCAAAATAAAAATAAGTGAATGACTCACCATATTTATTCATGCAGATCTTTTTTTTACTATTGACTTTCCAAAGCTATGAGCAAGATTTTATGCTATGCTTCATTTTAATGAGATTTTATCTATTTTTTCTTGCTATTTCCCAAAGGATTTGTTTTTTTTAAAAATGATAGTTTAAATAACCTATGGGGGGGGGAAACAAAGGCAACAAAATCTCCTAAATACATTGCCCAAGTGTCTTTATTATTAAAAAGGGGGGGGTAGAAAATAGAGCACTAATTTGAAGTCTCAATAATGAAAAGAGATGAACACTTAATCTCACGTCATCATTTTTAAGTAATGAAAACCTAAAAGCTGTCTCAATTTTATAATGTTTTAATTTTAGATTTAGAATGAATGTTGTGAATTCTTTCTATCATTTATTTTGGCTTGAAAAAAATGTTGCTCCTCATGTAGCATGTTGTATATTTATCTTTAGAAAATGAAATGATTTTGATTCTTCTTTAAATATCAACAGGATAGTGGCATGCATAATTATTTTGTGTTCTTTGTAACATAAAATACTTGAAAGACACTTTTGAACATATTTGCTATATATTGTTTTGAAAATCCAAGGTTGACAAATATTTTGCTGAGTGGGAGTTGTTCCTAGCCAAATTTTGGAAAGGTTGCGATCAGAATGGGAAGATTTATCATTAAAACAGAATGGAAACATATTATACTTGTAGGTAATGTAACATCAACATCTCCCCCTCTCTTCCCCTCAGTGGCGAAATGTAAAATTTGTTACTACCGGTTCTGTGTGCGTGGCTTGGTGGGCTATGTGTAATGTGACTGAGTGGGCGTGGCCAACTTTTTTTTTTAGCTTTTAAAAGCATTTTTTTCTACAACCTC